GCCATGGAGAATGACTTCCGCACGGCTTTGAGGCGATTCTGGTCCACAATCCGGCGTCTCAGGGGGGGAAAGCGGTACGCCACCAACACCGTTTATAGTGGGGGTGGTGTGCTGCTGACCTCAACTCGGGATGTCGTGGGTCGGTGTGCAGAATACTTTGAAGACCTCCTCAATCCCACCGGCACGTCTTCCAATGAGGAAGCGGAGCCTGGGGACTCTGGGACGAGCCCTCCAATCTCTGGTGTTGAGGTCACCGAGGTGGTTAAAAAGCTCCTCGGTGGCAGGGCCCTAGGGGTGGATGAGATTCACCCGGAGTTCCTTAAGGCTCTGGATGTTGTAGGGTTGTGTTGGCTTACGCGACTCTGCAATATTGCGTGGACATCGGGGGAAGTTCCCCTGGATTGGCAGACCGGGGTGGTGGTCCCCCTATTCAAAAAGGGGGACCGTAGAGTGTGTTCCAACTCAGGAGAATCATGCTCTTAAGCCTCCCTGGTAAGGTCTATTCTGGGGTTTTGGAGAGGAGGGTCCGTCGGATAGTCGAACCTCGGATTCAGGAGGAGCAGTGCGGTTTTCGTCCTGGCCGTGGAACATTGGACCAGCTCTACACTCTCAGCAGGGTCCTGTAGGGTGCGTGGGAGTTTGCCCAATCGGTCTACATGTGCTTTGTGGACTTGGAGAAGGCGTTCGACCGCATCCCTTGGGGAACCCTGTGGGAGGTACTCTGGGAGTATGGGGTACCGGGCCCTTTGATATGGGCTGTTAGGTCCCTGTATGACCGGTGTCAGAGCCTGGTCCGCAATGCCGGCAGTAAGTTGGGCTTGTTCCCGGTGAGAGTTGGACTCCGCCAAGGTTGCCCATTGTCACCGATTCTGTTCATAACTTTTGTGGACAGAATTTCTAGGCGCAGCCAAGGTGTTGAGGGGATCCATTTTGGTGGCCTTAGGATTGCGTCTCTGCTTTTTGCAGATGATGTGGTTTTGTTGGCTTCATCAGATCGTGATCTAAAGCTTTTGCCGGAGTGGTTAGCAGCAGAGTGCGACGCGGCCGGGATGAAGATCAGTTCCTCCAAATCCGAGGCCATGGTCTTGAGCCGGAAAAGGGTAGAGTGCCCTCTCCGGGTCAGGGAGGAGGTCCTACCCCAAGTGGAGGAGTTCAAGTATCTTGGGATCTTGTTCACGAATGAGGGAAAAATGGAGCATGAGATAGATCGGCGGATAGGTGCAGCGTCTGAAGTGAAGCAGGCGCTGTACAGGTCTGTCGTGGTGAAGAGAGAGCTGAGTCAAAAGGCAAAGCTCTCAATTTACCGATCGATCTACGTTCCTACCCTCATCTATGGTCATGAGCTTTGGGTTGTGACCGAAAGAATGAGATTTCGGATACAAGCGGCCGAAATGAGTTTTCTCTGCAGGGTGTCTGGGCTCTCCCTTAGAGATAGGGTGAGAAGCTCGATCATCCGGGAGGGAGTCAGAGTAGAGCCGCTGCTTCTCCATGTCGAGAGGAGCCAGTTGAGGTGGCTCGGGCATCTGTTTAGGATGCCTCCTGGACGCCTCCCTGGTGAGGTGTTTCCGGACACGTCCCACCGGGAGGAGGCCCAGAGGAAGCCCCAGAACACGCTGGAGGGACTATGTTTCTCGGCTGGCCTGGGAACGCCGATGCATGGATGCATGGATGCATGCATGGATGCATGGATGCATGCATGGATGCATGGATGGATGGATGGATGGATGGATGGATGGATGGATGGATGGATGGATGGTGGATGGGTGGGTGGGTGGGTGGATGGATGGTTGGTGGGTGGGTGGGTGGGTGGGTGCTGAAGTTATGGGTGTCTAATAAAGAAGAACCCCAAAATTTTACAAGTGATTTCTTGTGATCAAGTCCTGAAGGAGAATTTATTATTAAAATAAAGTAGTTTTAATTTTCACAGAGCCAGTGTTCAACATTTCTGTGATGAGAACAATAAACGTGTGCATGTTTAATCTAATATTACACTGGGGAATAATTAAAACGTTACTTATTTTCTTCAAAAACGTGTCTTCAACGTGTTATAACGAGGAGGAAAAAAGGAAGTTCTGCATTTCAGAAAAGGAAAATTGTGCAAAATCCAGATTTCTTGTAAATGTGGCACCGTGATGCCCAGATATTCTTAATACAAGTCTGATATAGCTATAATCTTCAGTTAAACAAGTTGGTTTCTGGGAATACAAAGACAAGCTAATGATGAGTCATGATTGTTCTGTTTTTTCTTCTTCTTATCTCATATATGACTTTCTTTCTCAGTAGCATTTAGTGATACCCTTGTGTTGAAACACTGTCTAAATTTAATGATCAGCTTGTAAATCATTTGTTCAAACATCCTGGGATATTCATCCTGAGTGGAGCCACTTTTTGTTTTTCTGGTGTTCAAGTTTTGGGTATTTTCAAACATTCTTTGTTGTGACAAGCCTGATTTAAACAATTCAGCGTCTCCATATTTTCACAGTCTGGAAAACTTGTCTTACTTGGTGAAGATCTCTATCAGCTTCTTCCTGTTTCTCCTCGGCTCTGTATCCTCGTCAAACTCCTCCATGTCTTTCCCCAGAAACACCTCCTGGTGAAAGTCCTTGTTGAGGTGGCCGTCCATCTCCATCTTCAGCCCGTTCAGGTGGTCTGGGGGTAGGATCTCATTCTCGTCCTTCTCGGCCGGAGTCTTATCCTTGGAGGATGACATGTTGGCTGGCCGTGTGTCTACTTCCACAGATTGGAGCAGGATACAGACAGACAGAAAGACAGCCAGGACCTCTCTGCACCACTTTTTTCTCCAAAAAGCCATGATTCTCCTTGAAAAGGGTAAAAAGAAACACGCAGTTATGTGAAGCAGAGCTGATGCAAATCACTCAGCCTCAACTCTGATGATGCGTTCAAGTTCGATTGGAGTTTTTCCCACTTTGGACACGCCCACTGGAAAATCCTGTTTATCTGCTCCGAACGGATACAAACCAAAGGCTTGACCGTTTATATATATTTAAATGTATTTAAATATGCGTTTAGACAAATATTAATAAAAAATTGCCGCCAACTTCTTGATTTTTTTTAACCTAATATATGAACGCTTCGACGTATGACAAGTTTATAACAATTACTGAAAATAATAGTTCATACAAAATGATTTGATTGTAAACCTGTACAATTTAACAAAAAAGAGGAGGAAAAGGACGGTAATACTTTCTTCCTGTTAGTTTTCCTATCTGCGAATATTTTCTCAACATGTTGTTTGTACACTTTGTTCATTTTGTCCCTTTAATCTAACCTTAGCGAGTCTTAAATATCAAATACACAAAAAACGACTATCCACGCGAGTTCAAACGAGTTTGTGTACGAAAGTCAGGCTAATACGAGTTAGCTAATGTTAGCAGGAACTTCAGCAACGAGCCCACTGAGGTCAAACCGCAGGTGCTGTCCACCTGGTTTCTCTCTAACACACCTGTCCGAATGTCGGCCCAGTCTATACTAGCTCCACGGACAGAACCTGACCTGTTGGTTCACTCGGTCTTTCAGCTGAATTGTTAGCTCGGTGTCCAACACGGTGTTTTGCTGAATTATGTAAACGACCGTATTACCATTTGCGACTTCCGTTACCTCCTTCACAATAAAAGCATAACGAAATGTCCGAAAGTGACTTCTAGACCACATTGTCTTGTTTTTTTTAAACTAGCAGGTTGTTGATTATGTTGTTAGACCTGTAAAAGTTTACTTTTAGCATTTTCTAAGTCTAGATTCAGTTGAAACCAGACGTTTACTGACAGTATTAAAAGTACATTTCCCCCTTTTGTTTGACATAATCAGTCTCAACCGTTCTTGTTTTAGATTATTTGTTTATTAAATGCCTAAATAATGCATGGGAAAAAAACGTTAGACACTTTCTTCAAAGTCACGGGTTTATATACACATTCTCTTAGTATCTGGCAGCGTTGCCTTTGACTGCATGACTTCAGTCAAGCATTTTGGATTTCCTTCCACAAGTGTCTCACAATAGTTTTGCTGTAATTTTGGCCCATTCCTCCATGTAGAACTGGTGAAACTGAGTCTTGTTTGTTGCTTTTTCAGCTCTGTCTACAAATTTTAGGCTTTTTGTGACCATTTGAGACCACAAACCAGGCCTTCATGTCAGCTAATTCCAAATATTGACGTTGTTGTCCTTAAATCAATTTGTAAAAAAATTGCACTGTGCTTAGAGTCCAAAAATGAGTCATTGTCCTTTTGAAGACTCATTTGTGTCCAATCCTTAACTTACTGGCTGGTTTCTTGAGATGTTGCTTCAATATTTCCACTTAATGTTCTTTCGTCATGGGTCCATCTATTTTGTGAGGTACACCAGTCTCACCTGCAGCAAACCTCCAACATGATGCTGCCACCGCTGTACTTCATAGTTAGGATGGTGCAAATTCCCCCTTTTTCCCCTCTAAATATAACAATGCTTGTTATGGTCAAACAGTTCAATTTTAGTTTCATCAGACCATAAAATATGTATCCAAAAATTCAGGTCTTTGTTCCTGTGTACATTTATAAACAGTAATTTGATCTTTTTATGTTATATTTGAAGTGAAGGCTTCATCCTATTTGAATGGCCTTTCAGCTCATGTCAGAACAGAATTAATTTAACTGTGAACAATGATGCGCTGACCAGCTTCAGCAGCATCTTCACAAGGCTTTGTTTTGGGGTGGATGCACACATTTTACATCAAAACGCATTCATCTCAAGAACATAGAATTTGTTTCCTTCCTGTGCTATTATAACAGAACATTTTCATAGTGTATATACTTGTGTATAATGGTTTGAATATATGAAACTTGAAACATCTGGAAATTGTACCCAAGGATTAACCAGAGTTGTGGAGGTCTAAATGTTTGAGCATTAAACAAAATAAATAATTTTCAGAATCCTAACTGACTAAAAACAGAAAATATTTAGTTTGTTTTATGTCAGACAGAGATAAAAAAAAATTTGTGTGTTTTTACACAAAATAAGTAAACATCTGGTTTTACATCTAAAAAAGTTAAATCTGGTCCTCTGGACATTAAAAAAACAAACAAACAAAGCAAAACAACAAAAAAAATGTAGAAACGTTTCGTCTCTCATCCGAGAGACTTCCTCAGTCTGAGGTGCTGTATTCAGCTCAGTCTCTTAAATAGCACCTTCTCAGAGTGGATCAACCAGTTTTGCTGCTGACAACCAAAACCAGCTGATCACATGCTCAAGAAGGACCATCAGCCTAACAATGGATCATTAGCACACTGATGGCTGTTTACTATTCACAGAGGGCTGAGTGATACTAGCAATCACAGCATTGTAAGAGGGGGACAATTGAACACGTAGGCCTCCACCCCTGTTTAACGATGGACGGTTTCTTTTCACAAAGATGGCCTCCTTTACTCCTCTCTCAAACCATCGTTCCTCTCTATCCAGGATGTGCACATCTTCATCCCTGAAAGAGTGACCGCTGGTGATGAGTGTAGACCGCAGAGTCCTGGCCTGATGATGGCCATTTCCCATTATTCCATAATTAAAAAAAAATATATATCTATCAAACAAACACATCAGAAGTCATACAAACCACACACACACACACACACACACTTCTTTTTTCATGGACAGGTCTTCTATTATATTTCCTGGAGAGGGTCAAAATGTTGAACTCAAGACATCCAGTAGAAATGTGAGACAACATCCATTGATTTATGCAGTCTGTTCATGACTTATATTAAAAAGGGCGTGAACTTGAACTGAGATGTAAATTTTACATAGTTTGTAAAGGCTAACTGTACTATTCCCCCTTTTCCTTTCTGTGCCACACAGTCACTGTGTGAGAAACAGGGGACACTTGCGGTCACAAGTTCATCACAAGGACACAAAAGATAAATGAGACAAACAACCACTCACACCATCATGCACTGGATAGTTTAAATATAAGACAAGATATGACTTTATTGATCCCGCAGGGAATTGTTGTGCCAAATAATATTAATAATAAAATAAAATAGATTAAAAAAAAAGATTAAAAAAACTTAACTTTATAGATAACAGCTATTTCCCCAAAGCAACTCAAATTTTAACACATTATATGTGGTGGGTCATATCTTGCAAAGCAAAACTCAAACGCATTTGCCATTTTACAAATGAGCTGAAATCTTTGCTTTATTTTGAAGGTTAAAGCACCTTACTTCCGGTTGTCCCAAACCAGTGGATTCCAAGCTTCCTGTTATGTCTTCTACAGCTGTACCAGCGTATACAGGAAGTGTAACGACACCCGGAAAAAGGCGACTGGTGTGTCGTTCAGCTTGCACCCTTGTAGATGGCGCTGTTTTAAAAAACATCAAGCTGAATGAACCGGAGCGAAAGCTGCCGAAACAATGTAAGTTTAAAATTACACAAATGAGCTTACTGTAGGAACGCACCGACACTTTTGTCACATAAACTGTAATTCAGCCAAATGTTAGTGTTTATATTATGCTAACATTATAACTACTCTTACGCCTTGTTGTCTTTGCATCATTCAGAGTGGTTGGTGACTTTGCTGAGCCTCAACTCTGATTAAAACAATTAATCGCTGTGGACACTCTAGCCAAACAGCAAGTTCCACCAGAACATTTCCAAAGGTCACAGAGGAGGTATGCGTTTGTTTTTGTTTCTATCTCAGATCTAAACACAGAGGTTTGGCTTGTACTGAACAAAAATGACAGATACACAACTTTATACAAGCAACACACTGCCCGCCAAAGAGCCTCTTCAGTTAGAGCATTTCATGTTGGAGATAAAACAGAGCTGAACGTGCTGTAGGGTTGCCAACAGAGCGTGAGAGAGAGGGGGGTCGGGGGAGGGAGGGTGGGAGACTATAAAACTCCACTGAGTCCTCTTGTAAACCCAGAGCAGGATCAACTCAGACCAGGAGGAAACGGCAGGGAGTGCACCAGAGCAGGCAACACTCAGCCCACCTTCCTCAGAGTCTCTGCACCTGGACACCTCAGCCGAGTCAGGTATCTGTGCTACCTGTGGAGTCTACTGTGGGACTGATACTTCCAGGCTGAAAAAAAAAAATCATTTTGGACATCATTCTCCTCTTTCAGGTTCAGACTGTACCCGGCATGTTTTCTGATGAGGATCTTGCAGCTCTTTTGAATGCTGGACCCTGGAACCTTTGCACGGTGTGAGAACCAGCGAAGAGAAAAGAGAGAAGCCCTCACAGCCCACCCTCAGCTTTAAACGCCCCTCCTCTCTGCCTCCTCTTTTGCCCACTGTGCCCTCCCTCCAACACCTCCCCCCACCCCCCAACAAAGCAGAAAGCGTGAAAAATCTCACTAATGGCTTTGTTTGCTGTCAGATCTGCGGCGGTCTGTCATTCCCCTGGACCATTCTGTTTGACGCGTTTCATAGTTGAGTAAGTCTCCTTTGACTTTCTGGCTAGACTTGTCCGTGTCCCTGCAACGCTGTAGGTGGGTGCTCATCAAAGAGGGGAGGAACTGGCACTCATCCTGACATCCTTGTGGAAGCTGCATTGCTCTAATCGTTCTCTTTTGTCTGTGAGACTCGTGGACATCCTCATCTTCTGTCCAGCCACGTGGCCAGCCTGCTCCCCTTGCAAGATTTGGCTTTTCTTTTACTACACACGCTGGTGTTGATCAAAAACAGCATGAAGATGTGGTGTGGGAATGGGCCTCTGGCCATGGTGGCTGCCTTGTTTTGGATTCAGTGTGTCCTTCTGCATGAGGTGGATGCCAGGAAGGAGAGAAAGAGGCCGAAGGAGGCTGCGCCGCAACACACAGAGACGTACAATACAACTCTGTCCAACAGCGAGGAGGTTGGTGGAAGCATCAAGGTAGTGAGTCAAGCTTCTCATACATTTATGAACTTCACATGAGAGTTTGAGGCTAACCCACAGATGTGAAATATGTCTAAGTTTGTTCTGTGCGATGGAAATAAAGTGCAGAGGAAAAGATAAACTCCACACAGGACAGGTGTGCCCTGACAGGTCAAGCTTCAGACAGCATGACAGACAAAAGAGTGTGAAACTCTAAATGAATGACTTCCGGAGGAATGGCAGGAATGTAGACATCCGAACGCTGATCGGCGCATCAATTAGCGCAAGCAGCGGGTGTCTGACACCAGCTTATGAGAACAAATCAGACAGTTGTTAGGAACTATTTATCACTATAGGGAAAAGAAAAAAAAAATTTGGGCGGTGTATTTTAAAACAGGAGTAGTTTGATTTTCTGACAACAGAAAGAGAATTGTTAAAAGCAGTCCTGGAAAGAATGTTGTTTTCTTTGAGAACATGCTCCAGTGAACCGTGACTGAGGACCCGCTGCCTCCTGACTCTTATTAATTGTTCTTCTTGTTGCGTACTTGTGAAGGGTTCGAACAGGGTGTTTGTTTTGCTCGCAGCCCACCCATTATTTTGGCATTCTCATGTAGCTTTCACTGCCCTGTGTACCAGCCTTCCAAGATTCCCCCCCCCCCCCCCCCCCACACACACACACCATGAACCCACACAGTGAGGTCTCCTTTGTAGCTTTAGGAACACTTTGTAGGCGGTTGCGGCCCGCCGGTGTTTGTTTAACTTGGTTTGCCCTGTGAAAGCAGCAGCTATGAATGTCTGCACCCTCCCTGTACAGGCTGTGATGTAACTCCAGGTAAAGTAAAAAAAAACCAAAAAAACTGCCACTTGTTTGGCTAGCCTTTAGCTTAGTCTGCAATAAGATGACTTTAGCCTCTTTCTCCATTTCCCATACTCCAACTGATGTCACGGCTGATAAGGTACAAACTATTGATAACTATTTGACAGAACATGATTTCAACAATACACAGACTATCCCTTCATAGTCTGCCTCCCCTGGGTCTGGGACATATGACAGGGACAGCGTGGTCCTTAAAACCAGGGCTGCATGCCCCTCACAAAGCCCTGTATAAGGGAACACCTTAGTGAGGATTAGTCTCTGGTGCCTCCCTCTTTAACATACTTTTATCTCATCTCCCACAATCAGGCATAATGACATAATTACGCCTAAGACAGTATGTTATGGCATACCGCTGTCTGCCAAACACTGTCACCTCTGATGAAACCTGACATCTGAGCTCAGCCTCTGCCAAAATGAACAAATTCCAAGTCACATTTGTTGGTGTTGCACTATCAGGGTTTCTAACAACAAAGTCCATGCTCAATTATCCAGGTATACAATCAAAACAATTTTCAGTCAGGTCATCTGGACAGTTTCTTTTACTTTTTTGTGCTGAAAAATTTCACCTTCTGATGAAGACTTCGGTGAAATGTTTTTTTTCAGGGTTTCTCTTCAGTGAACTAAAAAAAACATGCCGTACACAGTAAAAAGTGGTTAACTTATTATGTTTGTTTTTGTTTGTCAGTTTATTTTAGCACACAACTCAGGAAAACAGAACGTCTATTGGAGATGTCTTGGCAACATGCGTGAGTTCTCCAAACACCAACATTTACGGTTTTTTTTTCCTCTTGTGGCCAGTGGAAATAGTTCTGATGAGACGATGGCATTTCTACTGACCAGTCCTGCGTGTGGGCTGCTGGCAGTGGGCAGTTTCACGCTGCGTTTTGGAGATGATCCATTTGGACATGATCAGAACTGTAAGGTGTGCAGGCGTTTTAGGAAAAATAGTTTTTTCCTCTCTGCCAAATGGTGAAGGCAGAGAAATATGTTTTTGCCTGTTTATGTGCGTGTGTGTGTCTCAATGGATGTAGATCTACAACTGATAAAGCTTTTCAAACTTTTGACTAAAATAGCTACAACTGCATCTCTTAAGATGAAGGATCCCCCACTTAGAGAGCAGGCAGGAATCTGTGATGGAAAGAGTTGGATCAAACGTCACACCCAGCTTGTTGAGTAATAGCCTGGTTTAGCCTGAAGCAAAGGTTTTTTGTTTCCTCTCTCTCATCCCTGGTGATGATTAATGCAGCGGCGTGTGGGACCTTTGAGATCAGCTCACACAGAAGACACAAGGTCGAGTCTCACGGGAAACAGGGTGACTGCTCCAACACTGTGCCTGTACCCTGCGTGGCATCACGGTAAACTCTGCTTTCAGCATGTCAGAAAACAGCTGAGGTTAAACTTGTTTAACATCTTGACATGATCTCAAGTGGCTCTGCAGAAGAGAAACAAATAATAAACAATTTGTTGTCATCACATCTGGGACTTGCAAACTAAATTAACCCTAAGGTTGTATTTTCACTTTGCAGACACTGAGCAGCCGTTCTAAATATGGATTGATGTTGCTTTTATAAAAAATCCTGAATGAAGCTGGGTTCTCATGGTCAGAGTTCTAAAACATGTCTCTTGTGTGTTCAAGTAAAAATGGATTCAAAAATGCATCAAACTCCTTTTTTCTCAAAGTTTTACAGACAATACCTCATAAAGATAAAATGAAAAAACTTAGTTTGAAACGTTTGCAAATTTGTCAAAATAGCAAGACTATAACAGAAGTATTCACCATCTTTGTCATGACACTGAGAATTCTGATACTGTTTTCACTGATCATCCTTCAGATGTTTCTTAAACAATTTGAGTCCACATCTGATGAATTCAGTATACACTGGACATGGTTTGGAAGGCGCACGCCTGTCTTTATAAAGTCCCATAGCTGACTGTGCATGTCAGAGCACAAACAAAGACATAAAGTCCAATGAATGGTCTGTAGATCTCAGAGACAGGACTGTATCTAGATACAGATCTGGGGAAGGGTCCAGGAAGGTTTCTGCGGCATTGAAGGTCCCAATGAGCACAGTGGCCAACATCATCAGTAAATGGAAGAAGTTGGGAACCACCGGGATTCTTTCTAGAGCTGATCACCCAACCAATCTGAGTGAATGAGGTGAAAAAGCAAGTGACCAAGAACCTGGTGGTAACTCTGACAGAGTTCCAGTGTTAATCTGTAGAGAACTTACCAGAGGGACAACGGTCACATTTCATTGGACTTTTATGTCATTGATTGATCTAAATACTGATATAATGTATAATAAATTGGCATTAGATTGTATCAACACTAGATCAGTACTTGAGTTTGCTTCTCCGCTCAACTTTCAGTACTGTGTATTGCTCCTCTTCCAAAAGTACAATTCTGCAGCAGAATAGACAGGAAGAGGTAAAATTAAAATCTAATGTAAACAATGGATTAAAATAAATAAGACTGAAAATAATAATTTTGTCAGCTCTGATTGCACAAGAACTTTAGAAGTGACGCACACGTGCTAACATGTGCAGCATCCATATTTACTTCAGTAAACAGCGTGCTGCAGGAGACATCACGTCTTTTTCTGGGGGTGGTTTCAGGGCCATGGACTGTTCACACTGGAATCTGACGGTGGTTATAGGTAATTAATTAATTAATTAAATTATTAACATTTATTTAACTAGGCAAATCCCATTCAGATCACAAACCTCTTTTGCAAAAGAAGGCCTGGGCCTGAAGGCAGCCTAACATGCGTGTTTTGGACCATGGGAGGGAATTGGATACCCAGAGAAAACTCACACAAACACAAGGAGAACATGCAAACTGAACAAACACCACACAGAAAGATTCAGGTCCAATCCGGGGATTGAACCCAGGACCTTTTTGCTGTGAGGTAACAGCGCTAACCACTAATCCATTGTGCTGCCCTATACTATAATGTGAACAACCATGCAACATCAACAAAAAAATTTTAAGCTCAATAAAAAAGTCAAAATTGAGCACTGGGACCTGCAGTGTGAAGGTAGCCTCAATAGAACATACCTTGTGCTGTGTAGACATATACACTTCCTGGCCAAAAAAAAGTCACCACCTGGATTTAACTAAGCAAATAGGTACAAGCCTCCTATTGGATAATTACTTCATGGGCGATTATCTTTCAGCTGGCAACAACTTATTTAACCCCAACTGGTGCAATGAGTTGCTTCTCATTTCTTAAACAACCATGTTGAAAGACACATGGCGTGGTCGTGGAAAATATGTTGGACTGTTTGAAAAGGGTCAAATCATTAGCATGCATCAAGCAGAGGAAAACAATCTGTTAGGAGTTGTGCTTTCCCTGGTCTCTGTCTCCCTCTAGTGTTCCAGATTTGTCTGTTCCCCCTCTGATGTCTGCACCTGTGATGTTTCACAGGTGTTCTGCGTTAGTCTTGTTAGTGTGTGTGTATTTAAGTCTGTTTGCCTGCGTCCCTCATTGTCTGGTCATTGTGTCTCACTGTGATGCCTGTTATGCTTCTCGTGTCCTGCTCCTTGTGTCCTGCGTCCTGCCCCATGATTTATGTAAGTTTGCTGCCCCGTCAGCCATCTTTATTTTGTAAATAATAACTTATTGATTTATATTCTTTGAGTCTTGCCTGCCTGCCTGCACCAAATGGGTCTCCTGCCGAGAAATCATCACACTAAGGAGATTGCAGAAACTACTAAAATTGGGTGAAGAACTGTCCAACGCATTATTAAAAACTGGAAGGCTAGTGGGGACCCATCGTCTTCGAGGAAGAAATGTGGCTGGAAAAAATTCCTGAATGATAGTGATCAGCGATCACTTAAACATTTGGTGAAATCAAATCAAAGAAAAACAACAGTAGCACTCAGGGCTATGTTTAATATTGAAAGTAAGAGCATTTCCACGCGCACAATTTGAAGGGAACTCAAGCGATTGGGACTGAACAGCTGTGTAGCCTTAAGAAAACCACTAATCAGTGAGGCTAACTGGAAAAAAGTCTTAAATTTGCTAGGGAGCATAAAGATTGAACTCTGGAGCAATGGAAGAAGGTTATGTGGTCTGATGAATCCAGATTTACCCTGTTCCAGAGTGATGGGTGCATCAGTGTAAGAAGAGAAGCAGGT